GCGCTTCGTCTTCTTCGGAAGTTGGCGAAACCAATGAATGGCTCCGTCTCGGAGACTTAGCTCAAATGGAATGCACCATTTATCGGCATCTGTGTGGGTTCCAGTCATTTCATAGACGAACCCACGGAGCCACTGCATACAGCTCTCGCTTTTGTTGCGAGAGCCTGAGAACGGCGTGATGCGATCCAGCGGTCGGTGCGAAGCCATTTCAATCCTCGGTGTTGGGTCCACGTCGTTCAGCGTCGCTAGCTCATTCATCTGACGCATCAACTCGAGTTGAGGATCTTCCTCGTCGAATGTACGCACCAAAATGTCATCGTCACTGGACGAACCATCGCTGTCGACCTGACGACGTCCGGTACCACCTTTGGGAGCTCGCGCACCGCCTCGGCGACCGAACGAACCCTCGTTACTTGCGTAAATACGTTGGATACGGCTCTCCGAGCGTGGCGTAACCATGTGCGAGTCTTGAAAGTACGGTGAAGCTTCGGTAGTGCCAAAGGCACCACGCTCAGCTCCACGCTTGGTCGGAGAAGTACGAACGAGTCGTTGGGGCGTCGGCGGCAGTGGAATCTTGGACGGATCTTCATCCTGAATCATCGGTCGACTCACAGGCTGCTTTCCGGCATTGATGCCAACAGCGCCAAACGCCTTCCGAAGCTTCTTCTTCCATTTCTGGAGAGCAGCCCCGGCTTCATGTGGACTCCAATCCTGGAGCGACATCGTCGATGGGTACGTCTCGTTTTCGAACCCCAGCGACAACAGTAGCGAAACTGAATCCTCGGCGACTTGGCTAGTCGAAACCGAGTTGACTGGGTATTGAAGTTCCTGCGCAAGCGCAGGCCAGTCGGCCTTTTTCTTGGGGATGGGCTTGAACAGCTGCATCCACTCATCATTCTGCATCAGCGCTTGTACGCGGTCGAAAACGCGCTTGGCGGCTGGTGTATCACCGTTGATAGGTGGGAGAGGTGCCTTCAGCAGTGCTGAATGCTTTGCACTCGCCGCCGAAGGTTTAGAACCCTCGTTCCCATCGTCATAATCTTCGTAGGCGGGTTCCGGTCCCGCAACATCATCGAGCTCGTCGGCGAGGCTCCTCGAAAGGGACCTGGTCGCCCCGCTCAGCCCCGATGATAGCGTGGCCGTCTCCGGCGTCGCTGCGCCTGGCTCTGGAGCCGGCGTCTTATCTTCGTAATCTTCATAATCGTGGGCGTCAGGACCGATGTCCGCTTCGTCGTCGAAGCTCACTGAAAGCTCGGTGGCGGCTGCAAAGCGCGCAGCCGGGCTTGAACTCTCGTTGCGAGCCCCGCCAGACTTGGCAGGCGTAACTGGTACCGTCGGTTGTCCTTTCGCCATGTTTCTTGTCTTTTTCTTGTTCTTCTTCTCTTGGTAGCTCGTAAACTGGAAGGCCATACAAACAGTTCACAATGGTCACAATCTGTTCCCGGGTCGCGGCACCAGTTGTGGTGTTGGAAATCCCACGTGAACTCTAGCTACAAATGTAGTTAGGACGTTCCCACAACAATACGTCTACTAGGATAGTAAACGATCGCTCGGGCGGACCTGAAGACCCCAGTTCTGCCCTTGCACCGGGACAAACTGGACCTTGTAAACTACTTATATAGGCCAACCAGTAAAAATAAGAACACGCTATTAGCACGAGCAAAGCTAGCAGGTGTTTTGAATCCTCGTGGTCCCAACAGCGGAAGGGTACCAGGCACGGGTAAGCCTTTTACGAGATCACCGAGTGTTCAACACTCGGCTGGAAGAAATAAAAGGGAGGCTATTAAAGCACTCCCAGTCGTGCAAATAGGCAACAATAAGCCGTCACGTAAAACCTCCCGATAGTAATCGGCCAAAATACACAGTCTCTTGGCCTTGCCGGATGAGCCCTCGCTACAGAGCTACGAGTTCACCGACAGGCATAACACACTCAAACAAGCTTGACCAGACGCTTACCTTGAAGCCGGACGTCGCTCTGTGTGCTTGAGTGGAAATTCTGTTCTGTATTTAAGCTTACCCTTTCGGGTCTATTCCTAATAAGAAGTCCTAATCAAGAATACAAATATCAAGTGAACAATGATCCGTTATAGATCTTCTTGCATGCCAAGCGTCGTCTGCACCGTCGCATGAGCATCTTTAACGGTCCGCGCCCTGTCCCAGACGGTGAACGTGCCTTCCAAGGGTCGCTGAGTCTTCCGCGAACTCATCCCAACCGCCACCGAGGGTTCGTACCGTAGATGGTCCGCTGAATGCGAATCCGGCCAGTCCATTATTAATAATAAGGACAGCCTGGATTCTGTGACATATGCCCGTATCCAATACTCGTTGAACGTTCGGAGGTGACGCCGTCGAGTCCCTTGCACCTTGGCGTCTCCGTACATCACCTGACCGAGGGTTCGTCGCTTGAACAACTTGGGCGGTGTCACGTCTTTGTCGATGGGTGATAATCCGCAACTACGGAGAAATCACTACACCACACTCCACCGTCGAGATCATTTCAATGATGCTACCTTGTAGCTCGCGAGTCGTGTACTGCGTCTTCCGATCATTGGCAATTCGATACTGTATCTCCACCAACTCGTAAGCATGCTGGCTCACTTCCTTTGAAAGCTTGCGTCAGCTCCAGCGTAGCGCATGTGCCCAACGTCTGTCATCTTCTTTGCGTAATCCATCTCTGCAATAGACTGGAGAAATTGAAGCGTGTCTACGCACTCATCGAGCATTATCGAGGGCTTCAACACGTCCTTCAAATGACCACATGCTTCCTCCAATCTACACGTTAGCAAATATAACAGTTAGTGTTCCGCAACAAGCACATTCAAGTAGCTAAAGTCGTACTGGTTATTGGTCGTATTGCCCAAGTGGGGTACATCAACACGTCCAAATCCACTCCACATCTCTCTACAATTGTGCCAGTTGTCGTGGAAGTACTTCAAAAAGGGGTGCATGGCCTCAGAATGCGCGTCTTCGAGAGTAATCTCTTTTCCTTCAACTACATAGTACAGGTATGTGCGGCCAACGTCATACTCCGCCTCCGTCGTAGCATTTAGCATCATGTCAATTGCGTCTTCGACCTTATCGCGGTCTTCGATCTTGTATTCTCTCTTCGACATTTCCGCTCGAAGGTATTTCACTACGTGAAATACGCAAAGCAAAATCCGAGCACCATCTCCCCAAAGTCTTTGTCAACAATGATTACTCGAACTTGGTCCCAGGTTGGATTGAACGACTTGAATGACGCTACTGCATCGGTCAAGCAGTCCGCGCTCTCGTTCTCCATTAGGGCGTGCTGAACGTACTGACCCTGAAAAGTCCCACGAAGTCCCACGTTCACAAAAGTCACGAGCATGACAAGAAGACACAAGGAGGTACACGTGTACAACAAGCCCCAAAAAGTCACAGTAAGGCACTATATCTCACAAAAAGACACCAATAATACGTACGTGACCGAAGACGTCATGGATCATGAAACTGAAGAGCTTGTACCGCGCGTCATTGGTGTTGTGCGTAGCGTCCACCATCAGCACCTGTGGGAAAACTTCAAAGAAGCGCCGCATCTGCCGAGTCTGGAAAGTAATAGTCTGGGCCAGTTTTGCATCGTCCACGTAGATGGTAGCTGTATTGCCCTTCCGCGAACAGAATTCTCGGATACCAGCCTCCAGCCGCGACTCAGCAGTCGTAGATCCACGCCTTGCCTCCTTCAGACTTGCAACCATGTTGTGCACGTCACGCAGTGTGACGTTCTTCCCTACAATTCGTGCATTAGCAACACATAGATGCTACCAGTAGGGTAACGTACCTGTCTTCTTCCGCAAAAACCGCAAAATTAATTTCTTTCTTGGCTCCTGCAGCTTGGAGCTCATCCACAAAGTATTTAACATCTTCATCTTGGACACGCCGGTGAGAAGGGCGATTTTCATAAGGTCCAGACCCCAGCGCATGGTTATGGGCGGTATCTTGCTGGGTAACCTTGACGTGGAAGCCCCGGACTGCGTCCCATGCCACCGACACCGTCATCTGCGCTTGACATCCAGTCGATTTGACGAAGTAGTTGTGGCGCTTGCCCTTCGACCTACTTGGTCGCGACCAACTGTGGGTGCACACCAGCTTCCGATAGTATTTATCAAAAGAACTGGGGATAACAGTCTCTGACGTAGCCTTCCCACGCTCTTGGAGGTCCTTCTTCCGCGTCTTGTCACTGGTTGATGTTCTCTTCTTGAATATCTGGTGAGTCCTTTGTTCATACTCGCTGAGGCCTTCGAAAAACGCATCCCAGCTTTCGAACGCCTCTACCTCCATACGCGGAGCGCGGGCAACATGGTCACTCGATGCAGGGACGTGGACCTCCGGGGATTTAGCTTCAGTGGTCTCGGCGTCGGGCCGAATGCCGACGCGAAAACGCTCGCCATGCTGCTTGTCCTGCTTTTCGCGCCTCTTTTGAAATGAGAGGCAACGAATTAGGATGGGTGAAAGGAGGAGGAAGGGGTGTTTTAAAACATTTGGAGAGGCCTGAGTTTTCGAGATTTTAGTTTCGGTAAATATTTTATTTCGCACTTAGTAGGAAAATTCTTGTGTGACTTTATCCAGTTCCATATTTTTAAGCGACACAACTTCTTCAGTTTTAATCATTCTGTAGCTTATAAGGGCTCGAGATAGAGGAGACGCCCCGCTTTCGTTAAGAGTGCTTAAATCGCGATTCGTACTTAGGTTCATTAGTATCATTTTGTTTTGGGCGGACTAAAAATTTTAATCCTTAAATTTTCTTGTGCTATCATGGATCACTCACTACGGCTCACTCGATAGCCGCACTGATTTTGGAGACAGCGATCCGACCCGGTGTAGTTTTGCCCGAAGTGACTGCTAACGACGCTGACCAGAGTTTTCGCCGCACGCAGGTACCACGACTCTGCATCCAGCCACGAGCCAAGGTCAGGATAGACCCCTATTCGTTTGAGCTCTGTGCAAACTCGGTCATCATTAAGTTACAAGTGGCTTCTTCGTCAGTACGCGGCGGTGACTCTATTCTGCTGTTGCTTTTTGCGCTTCAGCTGCAGTTTGCGCTTTAAGTTCTTAATTTTCTTCTTGGCTGCCTCCTCACGTAGCTTTTCCAGTAGATCATCCTGTGATGTACGCTTTCGTTTCCTGTCATCCTTGTTGCTCTGCGTCTTGAGGCGTACCAGTTCCTGCTCCTCCTCGTCCTGTGCCTCGTCACGCTGCTGTTGCGACTCCTTCTCCGCTTTAACCGACTCCTCGACTCGACGACTACGTGGCTTACGCAGCAACTTCCGCTTCATCTCACGCTCCTGCTCCGTCAGCGTTTCATCAGCGTTGCCATAGGAGGCGTTTGGCCTCGTTAAGCTCGGAAGACTCTTGCCCGAAGAAGCAGACGACGGACGGTAAAGTGTCACGGGGCGGCGCTGCGTCTGTCGCTCGAGATGTTGTTGTCCCTCTTCCTGCACGTCGTCACCGTCACCTCCCAGTAACCAGGATCCAACGACGTCCAACGCGTTAGGTTTGAACGCCACACCCTCGTCGTCGCTATTGTCCATGGTTGAATCGGTTGTGTCAATAATACATGTTTAACATGTACTGCAATAACGAGTTCAGCTGACCAATCATATCACTTACAAAACATATTTCTGCCAATCGTTCGTCTCCTTGAGCCCTAGTGTTGGTTGGCTGGGCGTGTCTGCTGTTGCCTCCAATTCACCATATCGTTCACTATTTGATCTCCTCTCCAGCAAGTCAAAGCACTCTAAACAGCAGTCACCATGGGTCGCATGCACTCTCACGGTAAGGGTATGAGCAAGTCTGCTCGCCCATACAAGCGCTCGCCGCCTTCGTGGCTCAAGGTCTCGGCCGAGGACGTGGAGGACCACATCTGCAAGTTCGCAAAGAAGGGTCTCACCCCGTCGCAGATCGGCGTCATCCTGCGTGACTCGCACGGCATCGCTCAGGTCAAGAGCGTCACGGGCTCCAAGGTGCTGCGTCTTCTCAAGAAGAACGGTTCGTCCTGAACTCTTGTAGATCTTCTGTGTGTGTGTGTGTCCAGGAGACTGACGTGCCCCCTGTATATTCTGCGTGCCTATGAACGTGCTCGGTACCACCTGACGTACGGATCCGATGGTTTATGCCTCTCCGTTTAACGTGGGGGTATTCGGGTTTACTTTTGTCGTCTTTTGAATTAGGCCTCGCCCCGGAGCTGCCGGAGGACCTGTACATGCTCATCAAGAAGGCTGTGGCTGTCCGCAAGCACCTTGAGCGCAACCGTCAGGACAAGGACTCTAAGTTCCGTCTGATTCTGATTGAGTCGCGTATTCACCGTCTTGCTCGTTACTACCGTAAGAACCGCAAGCTCTCGCCCAACTGGAAGTACGAGTCGTCTACGGCCTCGACGCTGGTGGCTTAAGATTTATCAAGCAGCTTCTTGCTAACGCAATGGCAATACAAAGTGTCCAATTGCTGGATTGATCACCACTCTCTAGTGTCCGTTTTTTTCATTCTCTCATCTTCCTTCATTTTGAGTCTTTTGCGTCCATTCTCCACCATTTCCTCCCTTGTCGCCTTGGTCTCACTGATGCAATCTCGCTCCAAGTGTCTTGTCAACACTTTCGCGAGCACAGTGCCACCGCAGTCTTCCCACAGACATTTGACGAGTCTATTGACGCATTCTTGGTGACAATGTTGCCTCATGAAGCGCCTCTGGACCTTCTCGGGGCAGTTCAAGACGCACTCGACCAGTTCGCGTTTCTCGTGATGGCGACGTAGCAGCTCTTCTCGGAATAAATGCCGCTCGCACTTGGTACGCAGATGCGCAGCCTCAGTACTGAAGCGATATGTGGCCTCACACCCAACCTCCTTACACACGACTAAGCGATGGGCACACTCGACGCGGTGGTGACGCTCCAGATCCCGATACGCGACGACCTGTTCGCAGTGCTGACGACACGGCACCGTGTCCATCTCCCGGTCGCGAGCACGTTGAGCCAGCAGCTTCAACTTCTGGTTCACGAGGCAACAAGTTTGATCTCGCAGTGACGGGGTGGGTGGAATCCCGAAGCGTCTACGAACTTCTGGAGTCTCGTAAATGACCCAGTTTGTGTCAAAGCACGAAGAGCGAGGCAGGTTCAGTGCCATGTCGTCTACAAGATCACCCATACCTTCCTCGAGCGTCCAATAACCTACGAGAGACTTGCATTTAGCCACGTGAAGAATGGACGCAGCATTATGTTGGATCTGCTGGATACTACGACATTCGTTCCAGTAGCGGATCTCCTGAATAAAACCCTGGAACGACTCTGTCTTTTCTTTAGTGCCGATTCTGCTCATGGGCAGGTCGAATACGCCTCTACGGGTGGTCTTGAAATCGCCATTAAGGAAGAGACTGAGCTCCTTGGAGCCAGCAGAAAGCACGACGTGGTTCCAGCGATTCCGTTCCAGCCGAGTGTGGAAATTCACTTCTCTTGCTGCTTTCGTTCCCGATGGACGGTAGAAAACGATCTCGCCTTTGGCTCCAGACACGAGAGCGATGACGTTTTTCGGACTCGACGCGATGATATGGCGGCCACAGCGTTCAAGAAGTCGCGACGACTTGTTCTCAGACACGAGCGACAACTTGGCTTCCACTTTTGCAATTTCACGTTCGTATCTGCGTTGCAACCTCTGAGCCTCGGGATCATCAGGATCTAGTGCTTCTAACTGTGTCTGAAACTCACTGCGTTTCTTAAGAAGATTATTCTGTTCTGCAGCTTGGCGTTGACGTCCGGCTTTGTCTTCTTTGATCGGACTTTGCGGTGTGAGCTGCTTTGCCCAAGCTTCCAAGCTGCTTAGCAGGGATCGCTCAGCGTCAGATAGTAATTGCACCAGCAGCATCCTCTCATTCAAGAAGTGAGCAGTTTGGTCGACAATCGCGGTGAAAACTGCTCGTTGTGCTTCCTCGTCAGTTACGTCAGTGTCTAGAATCCGCTTAGCTTCGACGATGTTGAGCTTGATCCAGCCTTGAGCCAACGCGATCTCCTCTCGCGTCTCTAGTAATCCATTCTCGGCGTTATTGAAATCTTCCGCCAGTTCTTTCGCTGCGATTGCCAGTTCCTCACCGGACAGGTGCATTCCTGTTGTTTTATCATAGGGTCTGCGCTTACGCTGTTGCTTCAACACCCTCAGTTTCTTCTTACAGGCGTCCGACTTGGCTTGCCATTGAGTGTGTTCCCGCTTGTGAATCGCAACAATTTCCGTCCACTCCAAGCTGCTTCTGTGCAGTGATAGGATTTCTTCTTCTGCGTCGACCATCCACACGTAGAATTCTGCAGTCCAAGGCGGCGGTAGATCGATAGATGGAGCCTGGTTTATTGTGCTATTGTTGTGAATGAATATGTACGCGTTTCCTCCCGTCTTGAACTGCAGCATACTGCGATCCTTAGACAGAGTCATAACGTCTTCGTGTAAGTGCCGATCTCGCCATCGAAGACGCGCTTTACAGCCATGAGCGGCATTCTTGCATGGAACAACGCGACTGACGCATTCATCTTTGAAATGTCGAGTGAGATGCCGCAACCGGACCACCACTCTACACTCTGGACACGCCACGGGTGAGTTCTTCTCGCGGGCTCTCGCTGCCAGAGTATTCCGCTCTATCGTCACGATGCAAGCGGTACGAATGTGCTCGTCGAGTTTCCCCACAGGGACCCACTCTTGGCATCCATTGACGACATTTGGACACGGACGTTCGCGATCAGAGCATTCTTCTTCCTGGTGGTCAAGTAGCTTACGCTTTTTCACTTTTTGATTGCACCACTCGCACACAATTTCCTTGTTCACAAGTTGAGCGTCAGCAGCGATTTTCCTCCTTCGTTCAGCCACGACGCATTGATTTGCTTCATGGGATTCTTGCTCTTCTTTGGGGAATTTCATCTCGCAGCCCCACTCAGCAAAACGACAAGAAACTTTGCGTTTCACACACATGAGCAATTGGTGACTCTTCAAGAAGCGCTTCCTGACGAGGAAGCGAGTTTCGTGACACAATTCGCACTCGACTGGCGTATCTCCATCGTTTCGAGCTCGAAGAAGTTGCCGAGTGTGTTGGGTGAATGAACAGTCTCGTTGTTCGTGCAGCTCACGAGTTGAAGCTTGAAAAAGTTTCGTACAACCTGGGCGAACGCATCGAATCATTCGCAGAGAACATTCGTGTTTCAAGTGGAATCTCTCGTTTGCAGGTCGGATCCCTTCGCCACAGTCGCACAGAACCACATCCGGGCTACCTGCTCGTTGACATGGTGTTAGATAAATTAAGTTAGAGAGTGGTAATTCGAGCTTTGAATGACCATTCTCACAATTATTGGCAGACAGTCTTTGCTTCACTTCCAGAGGCTCGAGACGCTCGGAAGGTTGACTTGCACTTTTACTCAGCAACTTTTCACGTTGTACGTTCACTTGCTCCAATGCTCTTGCAAGCTCTAGGCTGTTCATAGGAAGGGAAGCACATCACCGAGCAGTAAAATAAGCCAATTGGTAGATCACCTACATATCTGCTTGTAGAGCTCGAGTGGTTTGTAACGTGGCAATTTTCGTAACTAGCTTCGGAATCCGCGCAGGTACAAACTCAACGCTTGGCTTAGCGTCAATGGACACGTGGGGGCTGGAGTCCATCGTATCAGCACTACACGACGTCACACTCAATTCTCTGACCATTTATTCACGATGAAAAGAGAGAACCGTCGAGCTATTTTTTCTAGCGACTATCTGGTAGGTGCTAAAAATCCAACGTTGATAGTATCATGGCTTAAGTCTCTATTAGAGGTACAATGACGCATCTGGGCCTCGTCCAAAGAGCTGATTCCACGAAGGTGGGAACGCAAACGGAAGCACCTGCGGCAGTGAGCTAGGCATCGCAACGGGGGCAATAGCTAGCTTGGGTGTGATTCGCAGAGAGCGGAAAAGCTGCGTCGACAAGGCTGCAGCATCCGGCACGTTGTTGCCCTCAGCACACGGCATCACCCAAGCGATGAACGGCAACTTCTGCTCATCGCACTCCGCGTGTAAAAGTGGAGCAAGACCAGCACCGCGAATCGGCTCCCACTGATCAGCAGACGAGGGAGAAGTCTCCGTCGCCTTTTGATCTGCGTTATAACTCGTTGTCAGGCCCTCGAAACGAGTCAGAAATGCTTCGTCCACTTGAGTAGCATCAGCAGAGTAAATAATGCGAATAGGGCGACTGCAAATGCCAATACACAGGAGTCAGCAGCAGTCTATAAAACCTATGATACCAGCACAAAATACATCGTTGTGTCGAACCTCATCATATTGGGGTCGTGACGCAGCATGTCATCGTATCCAGCCACCACACCAAGCGTCGCCACTTTGCTCTTGACCGCCCACTCCACCAACTCTTGAGCAAACGCGTGAGCTCGTCCCTACACAACCAAAGTCTAAGTCCCTCAGGCTATCGATCTCGTTTGTATATAAGCTAAAGAGCTCAGACTCATACCGGCAGCACCGGAGCTCGTTGCTGGATGACCGTGAGCTTCCTCTCCGTGCTCTGATACACTGCAGCAATAGTCGACACATAACGACATTAGTCCTCTCTTCGCTCTTGGTGTCTCAAAAGACAGCGACGCACCCTCTAGATTGAGACACAGAGTATCTAGCTGTTGCGTGGCAAAGGCAGCGCCACCGGTGACGGGAGGAGCTGCTTCGCTGAGCAGGTGGCCGACCCGCGTGAGCTCAACGCCCTGATTCGAGGCAAACCATTTACGTAAGGTTTCTCATAAGTGCGAGGGTAAACAAAAGGCAAAGAACTCTTCGCACGTACAAAAACTTCCCCATTCTGCAGCAGCGTGTTGACCAGCAGGTCCAGCGTTAGTTGGCCCAGATTCGCGTTTGAGACCGCCGGCTGAAGGAGGAATGATACACAAAGTTGTCAGTGAACTGCGGCGTGCATGTTTGGAGGATGGAAGCTGAAGTTGGGCAAGCATGTGAGGAAGAGTGTAGAGAAGAAAATTTCCTACCAGCAGCACCGTGTGGTCTGCGAACAGCGCAGCGGCATCAGCGGCATTCGCCGCATCTTGAGGGTAGAATTCCATCACAAAACTTGTATTTCGGGCAGTCTTCACCGCAACCCGAAAAATCGGCCTGTGATTGGCTAATCCATTTCCGCTTACTTCCGATTACATAACCCGAGTAATAACAATATATCATAAATGTATGATAATTTGATAGTAATAGTACTGATTTTGATACTAAATATTAATAGTAGCGCAGTTTTTATTTAAAAGTTAACATAATATTCAAATATTAACTCAAAGATTGGAAAAATATTAGATCGGTCGTAGAGCTCAAACGAAAGTGTAACGGGGTACGTAGCCCTAAGTGTACCCTGGTGTGACACTTCACACGTCAGGTGTATGACGTGTCATACACCGGGATATTTGGTACAAGGTACCAGCCAACCATTGGTCAAACGACGTTGCATTTCTATAGGTAGCTTATAGTTTGTATTAAACCCAAACTTAACCTACCTATAAATATACTCAGTTTACAATCTACCTTATTTAGGTCACTTCGCTCTCTTTAAATAAAGAGGGGACCTGTGAACTGCCGTTCACTGAGAGTTTGTATACTCTCGGAAGATAACTCCCTCTAGCGCAAGGTGCTGTGACCCCGTCACACTTGGTAGCACTCGTAGTCAATCCACGCCACCGCGGGTAGACTACCTGAACCTCTCCGAAGTTCGTTGCCATGGATAGGAACGACTTCTCCCATATGAACGACTCTCAGTTCGAGTCGGTTCGGAAGATGGCAGGCATCATCCGGATGGAGGCCCTGCAGAGCCTGGTGGTGTCAACACCGGCTGAGCAGCTCGAGCGCGTCAATGCGTTCGACGCGTACGAGCAGGGCCTCATCGCGCATGTGCGGGAGAACCTTCAGGCTCCGGCGGCGGAAGCAAATTCGCCTCATGCGAAGCCAATACGGCGGAAGGTTAAGCCGTATGAAGGGAAGGAAGGCGAGAACCTTCACTTCTGGGTCCGAGAAGTAGAGCTCGCGATGGACGCGGCTCTGATCTCGACCGAGCAACTTCGTGCTGCTTTTGCACTCTCCAACCTTAGCAGCCGTGCTAAGAGTTGGATGTACACACGGGAGGCAGCATCCCCTGGATGTTTCACATCCTGGGATCAGCTGTGTGAACAGCTCCGAGCCGCGTTCCTCCCGGCGAACTACGAGAACCGCCAGCGTTCGCGCTTCCTCTCGTGCAAACAAGGGAGGCGTGAGCTGCATGAGTACGTCCAAGAAATACGGGAGCTCACGGCGTCCCTAGTGGGAAACCCACTCAGCGCACACATCAAGATGACTGTGTTCATGGACGGCCTTCGAGTGGGCCCCGCACGCACTCAGCTGTTCCAGGTGCAGTCAAGCACCCTTGAAGAGGCGATTCAAGTGACTCTTCAAGAAGAGTACAGCCATCGCCAGGCGCGTACGCCGGCCTCAGCATGGCCTGGGAGGTCCTTGTCGGCTCCCGGTCGAACAAGCCCCAACGGACCAGTTCCCATGGAACTCGGGTCCGCCGAACAGCGTGACATCCGCTGCTTCGGCTGCGGGAAGATGGGCCACTTCAAGCGCGACTGTCCCGCGGAAAGACTCCGCAGACGGTCCTTCCCCAAGCCCGTCCTCAAGGGTCGCTGGCAGAAGCCAGGATCCCGGGGACAGGGGAACGCTGGGAACCAGTAGGGGCGGGGCGCCCTACTGGGGAAGAACTAAGTCTTCGTGACGGGTGCGCGGGTGGCGCATACCACGGGGACTTAGCCCCTGAGAGTCTTCGCACTCTCGAATCGGCGAAGAGCAGCGGCGGGTTGCTCGTAGTACACGGATGTGTACGGGGATACGATCATCCCTTTAGAATCTTGATCGATTCTGGGGCGTCGAAGAATTTCGCACGCCGTCAGACGGTTGCTCGTAATAGCAACAAGTTGTCCGATGATTTGAGAGAAGGCAAGGACAACGGGACGGTATCAGTGCGACTGGCCGACGGGAAGGTCGTCACTGTCTCCAACGTCCAAGTGGATCTGGCCGTCAAGTTTGAAGACTTTGACAGCCTCGAACAGTTCACTGTTCTCGATATGGATCCATATGAAATGACCCTGGCCATGCCCTGGCTTGAGAAGCACGAGCCCTGGATCGGGGCAAGGCAATCGGTGCCAGCCGCCCTGCGCATTGGTGAGTCATGTTCTTACCTATGTCAGGACCCGGGGCGCCCGCAAGGGTTGCCAGGGTACCAAAGCATCCGGCAGATGCTTGGGAGTCGTCGACGTATATGACGACTCCGAGGATGTTTTGATGGTGGCAGCGCCCAGAATAGGCGCTGGCCAAGTGGATAACTTAGGTCCACAGGCGGGTAACTTAGATCCGCAGGCAGCTGCAGCTGTCACGAACACTGAGAACAGCGTGTTCAGAGTGGGTAACAGAGTTCCACTCACGGTCGCCCAGACCTTAACTGAAGAGGAAGACGTCGGATACGCTTCCTGTGTGGGTAACACAGTGCCACACGCGGTCGCCCAGACCTTAACTAAAGAGGAAGGCGTTGAACACGCTTCCTGTGTGGGTAACACAGTACCACACGCGGTCGCCCATACCTTAACTGAAGAGGAAGGCGTCGAACACGCTTCCTGTGTGGGTACCACGGTACCACACGAGGCCACAAGTGCCTCGGATGTCGTAGCGCCGACATCCCTAGACGTGGGCAGCAAAGCTCGACGTCACAGTCGCCGTCGTCAACGACGCCGCCGCCGCCTCAAGTCGGATCCGAACTTCGTTCCGATCGACGTCGCTTCAAGCGACTCGGAGTCCAGGGCCCGTGTGGTGAAGTGCTTTCTCAGAAATAAGAGAATGGGCCTGACGCGGGGTCACTATCCCGAATCAGTGACAATATCAATTGTTTGGCACGGGTGCAAGTTGCCTGTGGTGGATTAGCCACGACGAGCGGCACCCCGTATGGAATGACGATGGATCTGGTATGAGCGATGTACGGGAAGGCAAGATCCACCAAGACTTATCTCGGATCCACCCTTACCTGGATTCACTTAGGTGGATATGGGATATACTATGTACCAGT